CTCCCGCCTTTTCCTTTTATTTTCTATTTTTAACGCAGTTTCAACGTTTCAAATATTGATTTAAAGTATACGTGTATATTTTCCTTGACACACTGACGCTCCCCCCCCCCCCCTTCCCTTGATGTGTTTTTCTCTTTCCAGGGTGTCCGGTATTAATTTTAATTTCTTTTGCGGCTCGCCTTCGCCGGTTATTCGGTCCTCGAGCAAATAGGCTGCCGCGATCGAGTTGCGCGGGAATCACGCATGCGCGTTCGTCCGCATTCGTTCGACTCGCTCCGCTTGGTACGGCGGCGGCGACGGCGGCTACGGCGCAGCGGCAGCGCACAGTATACGCTAGTCGCTCGCGGTCATCCGTGATGATCCGTGAGTCACGAGCGTGTGGGGAAAGAGGGTCGACGATGACCCGACGACGACGCCAGCGTCTTCCGTAGGCCACGCTAGCCCCGCGTACACGCCGCACGCCGCCCGTCGTCGCGACGCCACGCACTCCTCCTCCTCGGAGGAGCGTTCCGCGCCGCTGTTCGCGTAGACGCTTTCGCGCCTCCACTCCGCGTCTCTCGTCGCCGCGAGGAAACGCGGCGGTGGCCTGGTGGCGTTGATCGCGTTTCCTCGTCCCGAGAGCCCGATGCGCTCCTCCCCGCGAGACCATGGCATCGGTGAAGGTGGCCGTGAGGGTTCGACCCTTCAACAAGAGGTGCGTGTGTGTGTCGTGCAACTGGTGGACCGGAAGAGTCTGTGCTCCGTCAGCTCCGTCTTTGCCTCGCCTCATCTCGCGTCGGACGAAAGAGTCTATACCCATACAGCACACTTGTCCAAAAGCGGGACGTAGGACGTCTAAAAGACGTCTTTTAGCCATCTTTTAGACATCTTTTAGACGTTTTACTAAAAAAGATGTCTAAAAGACGTCTTATGTCCCGATTTTGGACACGGTGCTGTCTGGGTATGCATTCAGTTGCGATGTCGTCGTGCCCTTGCCGTCGCTCTCCTACAATTACGGCGCTAGAATGTCCGTCGCGCGGCGCGACAAGATCGTTCTCTCTCTCTTTGTCTCTCTCTCTTTCCGGACGACGCCAGTCCAATTGCTCCGAGTATAGTTCAGCTGGAGGGCAGGACAACGTGTCTCCCGATGCAGGATGCACCGCGCGCAAGTTTACTACAGATTCACGCGAGCGTGAGGAGCACGCTGATCGATTGATTAAAACCCCGAATACAAATATCCCAAGCGATATAGCAAATGACGTTATATATGTATATATTTATAGATTTTATACGTCGACGCAGAGGGATAACGACGGTTAGGACGCGTCCGACGCGCACCCACGTTGCACCCAAATTCGCCGTGACGTTTCTTCGAAAGGACGTGCTCGAGGAACGTTCCAGCATCCCGAACGTCCTCCTTTGGTATCCCAGATTCTCTCGCTGTCCGTGTTGCAGGCCAGTCGATACTATTACGCAATTATTTTGCGGTCAATAACATCTCGTGGATGATGTTTCTTCGCGCGTTGCAGCGTATCATCGATATTAATCGACGCTGGAATCGCCGACGCAATGTTATTGAATATACAAAGGCTGATGCATTAAGCGCGACGAATGCGATTGAAATCCATATTGCACGTGGATTCGTCATCGTTGGAACGATTCAATCTTCTCGCACGTTCTATATGGTTTTGTAAAGAATCGAAGGCAGATATAAGTATAAAAATCAATACGAGAAAGGATTTATTTCCCCGCATTTTGAATAAAAGTTTTTACTTAATTCATCTCGAGATCTCGTCTGTCTTCGTCTCTGAAATTTATGTAAATTCGCGAAAAAGTTTTTTCCCATCTCAATTTTGCCTTAACTTTGACTTCTATGTCGAGTCTCCGTTGCCAGGTTAATTCAGTCATTTGAGTCAAGATTGGAAGAGCAAATCTTGAATCATCCTACGCTTCAAATTACACTTTTAAATTTTAGAAAGGATTTTATTTCAACATGGTCTGAGTTAAGAGAATACAAGTCATTGTTAAATTACGTTAAATTACGAAAAAGCTGCAGCGTATTTTTTTTTCCCCCGGGAATTTCATTACATTTCTTATATGCTCAGCGAGAAAAACGTAACCGCATCTTTCGATACAGTCGAATACGAAGATACGTTTATAGTTTCAACTCCATTTCCTCTATAAATGGCGCAATAATAACGTACATTTAACAATCGACGGTGACACAGTTGTACTAACGATAGCGGACGTTCGATTTTTTTTTGAAGGGACGAGAGGGGATCCCTCGGAGCAGTATAATCCTCTTTGAAACGGCGGATTCAATTATTTCGTCGCCTGTGGAAAGTAAAATAAAAAGGTTTGATGAGTGACAGGCCGCTCCCGATTCAGGAGCCGTCGGTTATTGACAGCACGTGACACAATTGTGCCACCGGTGGTGTATATTGACTGGCGTGCATTATGGACCAGCGAACGACCGCGCGCGCGCGTCTCGTCGATTTCCGAATTCGGTCGCCGTATATAATGTCTGTTGTATAACGTCGCGCGTCGGGACGACAGGTCGATGCCGGTTCGATGATAATGACAACGTGCTTGTTGCTTTGCAGAGAGGTAGCGATGAACGAGAAGCTGATTGTGCAGATGAGCGGCAAGAGGACGCGGATCTTCAGCACCAAGGTGAGCACCATTTCGCCAGCGGCGCGCGTCACTTCCATCCGCCCTTGTCGAAATGTACGGGGGGGTGGCACCTCTGCTTTCCTTATCATTCAGCACCACGCAACATTCTTGAGTAATCGGATTATCGTATAATGTTGCTGCAGGAAAGTTACCGTCGTCGCGTCTCCATCCAAAGAAAAAAAAAATCACAAAACGATCGGGCTTATATTATTGATTGTGCGACGGTTTTCTTATTGTTAGCCGCAATGGTGAATTTGTGATGTTATTATACAATTGTTACCTATTTTTTATAGCCTTCTTTTATAGCCTCGTGACGGAGTTCGCAGAATGCTAAGTTTTGTAACGCAATTTTTTACATTCACTACGATTTTGCGGCCTCAGAAATGTTTTATTACATCACAATTTTAAGAAACTTGTGATTAAGTGTCGATCTTAAATCTCTTAAAAAACTGCGATGATGTGATCGAGTAGGTATTTTTCAGCCTGAAACCATATCCAGAAAATAAAGAATAATAATTCTTTTCTTTGGATTCTTTTGCTGGACTGTATAGTAATATAATATTTAATTTCCGTTGAGAATCATTATGATTGTTGTTATTGTTACCCAGCAGCTGATCCGAGCAGCTGCACAAACGCGACGGTAAAATTCCGAGTATGATTATTATCAATCGAGGTCAGCAGCTCTCGCACGGACGATTTTCGCGCGCAGATTGCCTGGTCTCGGAGCCGGTTTCGATCTTGTTTCACAGGAACGCGAAATCAATCCCTACGTAGCGGATGTTCCAGAGGAGACGGAAAACAGAGGGTACATGGAGGGGTGGGCAAATTACTGAGGCGCGGCGAAAAAAAGTCTAAAATTTTACTATGTTCGTTTTCTTATATTTCTTGGCAATGTAAAACTCATGAAAACTTCACGGAACTTTAGACCAGCGTTTCAATTTTGATAATAAAGTTTCTTCTTTCCCTATTCGATACACTAAACATCTTTTTGCAAAATATGAGCCTTTTAATGATTGCGACCTTCTAGAGATTTAATCTCGTTGATCTGAATTAGAGAAAACATCGAGGCAATCCTTGAACAAACGGCCTACTGAAAATGAAGGACTTTTCACGCCTTATGTTCCAAGATTAAGTAACAAGAGAATTATATTTTTCGTTGTTCAGTTTAAAGAGATTTTATTTCCACGAAACACTTTATTCGAGACTTTAAATACCGAGATATGTTTACAACAACATTGTTGATGTTTATTGAATATATAGTACCAATGGTTATTACGAGCTCGAGTTATAGATAGTCGCTAGGATGCGTAGGCGTAATATCATCAACCTGTTATACAGAGAGACGCACCTTACGCGCTAAAAGTGGCCGTTGTCGCATATTTGCGTTTTGGCTCTTATGTTTATAGACTGAAAGGTCTTGTTCGTGATGTAAGCCGCGATTACATCACTCTCGAATCCACTGTTCATATAGTTTCTCTAAAGCGCCATAAAGTCCGGAGCTAATAGCAGCGGATCGCAAGTTCGACGTCTCGCCACGTGATCACATTTCCCTCGATATTGTGACAGATTCGATGCCACATTTTCAATATGTAATTGTACGATCTGTCAATTAATCTTCGTCTAAAGACGTCCTGCGAATAGTGTCAATTTGTTCAGTAAAATTTTCAGTCAGTATTAGAAGCTTGTTTAGAGTATAGAAACCTTGTACAAAATTGATTAGTTGTATCAATAGTAATATCCCTGGTTGTAGCTTGAGCGTGTAAAAATTCACTTCGCGGTACCGCAAAGTATCAAGAAATATAATGGCCTTAAATAAACTTTCTAAAGAATTTCAAAGCGGAAGTCGTGACGTGTGGACGATCTCTCTCTCTCTCTCTGTTCCTTTTTGCTATAATCGCCCAATGCTTAGCGAATCTAGTGTCATAATTTCTGCTCGAATAATTTTTATGGATTTCCAAGTCATAATTGCTAATTGAACCTTTGACC